CCGCTGCAATGGCAGTGCTTGAACAGGAAGTTCATGGGATTTTTTTTATGACTTTAGCGTTAGGAAGCCTCCTGTGCCTCTGCAAAACTCAGAAACATCTAAAAGGTAGTGGGAACCTGCCTTTCAGAATAGGGAGCGCTGTCCCTGTGGTGCCAGACTCGTGTTTGGGGCTTTGAGGATGGCTCCTATGACAGCGAGAAATGGGCTTCACCAGAGATACGGGGCTGCCTCCCTTCGCAGCCCCCAGGATTGATGACTTTTGGCAGTAGGTGACCTAGGTTTGTTCATTTTCTTTTTTCCGCATCAGCTTGCCACCTAAATGCAAACCAAACATTGCAAGAAATGGCGAATCTAGTATACTGTCCCTGTAAAAAAAACAACAAAAAAAAATCCCGAGTTATAAATGAATGTGACTGTAATCCAGTTTACATCTAATTAAAGGCAGCACGCAGCAAGCGCACTTCAGTGCTTTTATTAGAAGTCTTATTATGTAAAGGTACTCTCTCTGACTGACTGGATAAACGCTCTGTCTTCTTTTCCTTGCAAGCTTGATGTCACCTCGCTCCTTGAAATGGCAAGATCGTGCGAGCTGGTTAATGATTTATAACTGAAGAACTCTGCTTATTAACCAACAAACACAGAAATAACTGTAGAGGTGCCTGTACTATATAACTATCTGATTTATTTGAGAAAAAAGGAGAGGTGCTTTCCAGGAAGACTTTCAGGAAAACTGGGCTGTAGTAGAAAGGGTTGAAGAGAAATGAACTGCTCTACTACTACTGTAGTAGGAAGAGCCTCTGCTCTAGGAGCTACCACTTAAAGGAAAACAAGAGGGCACAGTGTGGCCTCTCTTCTGTTCGGCCTCAGACCCATTTATTCTCTTTCATCCCTCATCTCTGCTCTCATGCCTCTTGGCGAGGACAGACCACAGCACAGGTTGCAAACAGAGACTGGACTGGTGGAAGAGAGGAGAGGAAAGAGGAGCTGCTGAGAACTTACAAACTGTAGCCCTAGAAAACCAGGCATGATTTATTTGATGTGCTGATGAACAAGCAATCCGAGTATTGTCCTTTCCAGGGTCTCAGGTTCTTTTGTCGTGTTGTTTTGCCTAATGTTTTCCTCTTTGATCCCCGGAGTAAGGAAGGGCACTTTTTTCAGATAACTCCTGGCTCATCTGCACTTCTTAGTTCTCTTGTGTTTTAAAAGGGCACAAGTCATCACTGTGTTCCCAAGAGAATGACTCCTTTCCTTCTCCAAATTGCAGCTCTTGCTCTAATTTAAACAGTTCCTTTTCGATCACTTAGACACTTGACTTTGGCACTTCACATGTATGATCTTTCTCTATTGTCAAAGTTATTGTGAGGGTAGGGGAAGAAGATATTATAGCTTTCAGTAAGTGGTCTTGCACATAGGACAGACCACAGCTAAGCTTGTCTAGGAACAAAAGCCTACAAATGTCCCCTAGTATTCCCTCATTCTTAATTTTTCATTATTCTCTCAGACACTCCAAGTATCTCTCCTTCTGTATCCCAAGCATTGCCTGATGGTGTTATGCCATAACGTTACATGCAGACACTATACACTTCTATCCTTATCCCATTTTCCATTCAGACTTCAAGCTGTTGAGTGTGTCTGTATTCTGTCAGACAGGCTGCTGTTTGCTGTCACAGCGATGGACATCCCGGCTAGCATTATAATTTCAGTGGAGCTAGAGCTGTGAGAGAACGGAAAGAAATGCGAATGTAATTTGGCCATGTTGGGGAAGGAAAAGGTTTCCTTCCCATCACAAAATGACCGAAATCCCAGTCGGATTAAATAAGTTTTCAAGGTACCCAGGAGTTGAAATCCCAGTCCAAGAGAAGTAAATGGGAAGTCGGTAAATAAGTTTTCAAGGTACCCAGGAGTCTACCCTATGGGCTTGGGATTTTTTAGCTACCGCAGAATGTAGATAAAATAACAGTCCAGATATTTAATCTCAGCTTTTCACGACAACTTTTAGAAACGCAAGCACTGACAGGAGCTATGGCTTGATTTTTTTGAGCAATGCTGATATGATCTACTATGGTTTCTCAAAGAATTATCTGGGTGTCTTTAAAACAGTCCCAAGAAGTCCCAAGCAGGCTGCCACTTTGCCCTTATGCTAAAGAATCAGGAATTACTGACCCACATATCCTGAAGCAAGTATGCAGCTACTGAAGTCAAACAGATTCCAAAAATTTTATGATCAAACAAATGGATAGTTGAGAACCTAATTTTAAAATAAATGGAGTCTTCCTTCAGTTGCTGGAAGTTGTGTAGTGCCATAATTGGTCCCAGCATGTACCTCTGTTCTCGAGCAAATAAGAATGTACGTGCATCCTAGAAGATTAATTGCAACAACATACTGTCACTCACTTATTCCTGATGACTTCCATCTAATGAGAAAACAGTGGGTCACTAAGATTCCCATTTAACTTCCATGAGACAATTAACTTTTCAGTCCCTAGACTCTCTTGCAAATCCACACAAAGAATATATGTAACAGTTGTCTGAAAGAATCTTCCTCTGCCTTTCCCACCGTGAAGAATCGTAACACAGGCGTTGTCCAGGTAATCTAGCTAGGCTTTATTCTGCCTGCTCTGCATACTTGTATGTGGTTCAAGTGCTTGAGTAAACGCATTTTTTCTCACAACTGCAAGGCCTAGAACATCTTTATCCTTCCATTGCTGCTGCAAGTAATAATTTGTTATGTATAGTGCTATGCATACTTGTTAAAGATGGAAGGTTGATACTTCCAAATCTTTATTACAAGGAGGATGTGCTCTTAACTAGCTGCTGTGGAGATGCAGAAGCAGGGTGATAGGAAGTGTTCAACAAATGGTCATGTTATTCATAACTAGGGAAACAGCGGATATTATCTATGTTATTCACCACCCACTATGTCCAATAAACTAACCCTACGGAGCTATATAGGCCTTGTCATCTGAAGCACCTCATAGAGAAAGCTACATATAATTATTTTCATTTTGCAGATGGGGAATGGAGTCACAGCAAGGTGAAGAGGCGTGCCCAAGGACATACCTCAGGTTAGTGGCAGAGCTAAGAATATCCAATAGCCCTGTGATATCTAGCTTCCAAAGCCTAATGTGCTTTCTGAGAAGCTCCATTCTGTATTGTCATTTCCTGTGCGCACCCATGAATTTTAATTGTGCCGTGAGTCTTTTCAAACCCTTCCTTCTGTGAGGTCAAGATGCCTTTATACGATGAGTACAATCATCACACTTAGAGGAAAAAGTCAATATATTCCTTCAGAAACAATTTTAAGTTGGTTTTCTGTACCTTAAAATGTTACAACTGAAGTCTGATATGTAGGAACCTTCCAGGGCCAGAGCTTGCTTCGTATTGTGTGTCACAGCAGAAAGGGGGTTTTCTTTTTTGGAAAGATGTGAAATTTTTGTTTCCAGCCCTCAAGATAGCAGCCCATAAATGTGTCATTAATCCAGGACTAAGTGCTGCCATCAAACCCTTATAATGTTGAGAGAGACCTTGAGGGAAGCCTTCCCTATTTGAGGAAATAAACATTTCCCTGACGGGCTAATTATTTTTTAATGCCAATAGCTGGAAGCTGTTCATTAGCATTTGTTGGAGGGGGAAAAAAAAAAGGAAGGGGGCAGGAGTTCACACATGTACATGACATTTTTAAGTTAAAATGTCATCCAAGTTTCAAAGCGGTAATCGTTTCTTCCGGCTGCACCTATTCTTAGTTTGGAGTGTTAGAACAAGTCTCAAAGGAGGTGGATTAATGGGTAGAGAGGGAATGGCTCAAAGCTGCATGATTAACTGTATCTCACCTGCCTGTAATATGACATATGGCTGTTGCTTCATTAGAGGTCATGTGTTTAGGTAGGAACACCTGAAATAAGACATTGCAGATGGGTACATATACGCTAAATGTTCCCAGATAAAAGAGTTTTTAGATTAAGGTCGGAAGAAAGGTCACTTCTGTTCTGACAAGTGACAAAACGTCTCTATTAAGAGCACTGCCAGCTCCTTGCTTCTCTTGGGTAGAAGAGGTGAGACCCCCACATATCATGGCTGATGCTGACAGAGTTGTGCCAGTTTACATCAGCTGAGGACCTGACCCTGAGGACTGGCAGAGCAAGCACAGCATGGCAAAATAATCCTTAGCTCTTCTCAGCCTCTGTTTTAGAGCAGATGCCAGGCAGCTGGCGAGACCTGCTCTAGCCATTCAGTTTCTACAGTGAATGACAGGCCAGTGATCTTCTGCCCTTCCTAAGAGGAGGGGTACGGGGGAAGTTGGAAAATGGTCAGGAGAGCCATGAAGGGTATGGCAACGAAGCAGTAGTGTTCTGAATATGAGCGACTTCCGAATGCCTCGTTCTTTAGGAGGGAGAATTTCTTTCCCCAGCACCTTCCAGATCTGACTGTCTATGATTTGTCCAGAAAAGTTACACAGATACCTAAATATCTCCTGTTGCTTGACCACATGGCCAAAAGTGCCGGACTTTTGCCAGTGCCTGTTCAGAAGAGCTCTGCTGCACGCCCTGCAGAGCAGCATGTCCTCAGAAACAGAAAGTCAAGATCCCAGGCTCAGAGCGCACAACCGCACTGCATAAGGTGAGGGGCCAAATCTCTCCTCAGCCTGCAACATCTCGAACCCATGTGTTTTCTTTCTGTCTTTCTCTTTGGAAATGGTACCTAGGATTATGAGACAGGTCTTGGTGCACTATGTGACAGAGAGAACCAGGACAACCGGTAGAAGTCGGCTCAAGAGCTCACAGCTCAGTCTGGCTGACTGACTGACTCAGGACTGGCTGTCTCCGTGTTATACAGCGTTATTGGTAGTGATTTCCTCTGTGCTGCCCAAGTGATCCTGAGGCGGAATTACTTGTTGTGTGTGTGGGCTTCT